TGATCCCTAATTTTGTGTGACCCAGTAAAGGAAAGGGTACAAACGACCAAACTATCAAAATAAAAATCAAAATAGGACCAACTGGTGATAATGTTATAACCAATGGGATCTACCAGTGTCTGTTTTTTGAATTTTAAACCAAAAAATGTTAAAATTTCATTTCCCAAAAAGAACTACAAGGTGAAGACTTGGTGTTGCTTGCTTTTCATGCTCCTTTCAGATACGATTAGCCCTACAATTTGGACTCCCATGGTTCTGAATTTGATTCACAAGTGCAATGTGAAATAGATAAACACAAAAGAGTGCAAATCTGGCAAAGTTTTTGGAAAATCGATTTTGAATAAAAAATTCCAAAAATGAACTACATTGCCAGATTACAGAGTCGCCACCAAAATTGTTTTAGAAAATTTAGGAAACCCGGGACTCGTGCCAAATGCCATTAGTCCGTCATCACCAAATTGTCTCGGCTCAGAACTTAGATACGAGAGGGAAAGGTCATGAATTGAGCACCCCGCTCACCCGATCAAAGATCTACCTCTACTAATCATGATGTGATTTTTATTTATAATATAAGTTCTTATTCTGATTATTAGGCTAACTTTACTAGGTGATGCACACAAGTATTGACTAATTTGTAAAAGTTGGAACATTTGATTTAATGTTTGTTTGAAAAAGTGTTTTGAATATGCATTACTTGAAAAAAGTGAGTTTGTATGTACATTAATCAATTTATTCCAATTCAAACAATTAACCTTCATCCACCGGCATTCAAACATGTATATCAAATAAGCACTTAACCTCATGGAATCATGTTTTGATGACATGGAAACAATCACACGCATGCGGTTTGCTAAAGCAATTAAATGTTCACATAGTACTCCGAGGCAAGCCAAAGAAAACAAAATAGTTAGAAACGATGCATGCTCTGGCATAATGCAATATGACTAATGCAACACATACAAAATGTAACTAATAAGCTCGGTCACTAGCATGGCATACGAGTCCATCCAAGACATGTGATATAGCACGTATTCAAGGAAGTAATAAATGACAATGTTGTTTAAAATGATGAACCGAACTCAATGCATGCAAAAAAATGGATGCAAGTCATGGAAGATGCTAAGTAAATATGATGCTAACATTATAACCGGAAAAATAAAAGGGAGAAAGAAATGGGGGTCGGAAGACATACACAATTATTACATATTTTTTCCTCGTGCAAGAGGGTCCAAATGTCCGTGTGTCCGAATAAACTAACTATTACAAACCTGAATGAATACTAAGTGGCCAAATTAACTAATTCAAATGAATTGTAAATTAACTAGCTATCTAATTTTATTACAACAAAGGTATTATAATAATACTAATTACAACAATAATGAAAATGTAACAATAATTACTTATTACAACAATAATAACTATAATAACGATATTAATACAAGCACAAATGAGGCATAAGGATTGCATGCACAGTATTCAGAAACTGCTTTGTGTGCTCAAACGTGCTCTGTTTCACCTTCAGTTACTGCCCTTTGTTTTCTACAAAACACTCTGTTTACCAAACATTGGAAGCTGGCCGGCCCTAAATGAGATTCGGCCAGGTCCAAAAAGTGTCAGTCGTACCCTAATTTTATGCCAAAAATGTTTTTGTGCTCTGAGGTTAGAACAGTGTAGACAGAGCCTTTCTAGGCCATGTTTGTCTCTTTTGCTCTTTTCTGTCATGGATAGCCTCAAGAGAAGAATGAAGTAGTTTCTAAAACCATCAATGAGCAAGTTGATTGCTTGATAATTTCAGACATGATTTTGGACAAAAATCAATGAATGCAATGAATAACAACCACCCCTCCCTCCTATCATGGAGTGAGCTCAAAGCCTAGATAGAGACACATCAAGGTTCATCAAAACACCATGAATTAGTGTATGATGACCCTTGACGCGATGGACTCGACATAATGTCCGGTCGAACCGAAGCAATATAACTCATTTTCTTTATGTTGGTTAGTTCATTTTAAGCCAATTTTACTAGTCATTTCCATTCTTTAATCAATTTGTCTGAAGTGATAGTTAAGTCCACTAAATGAGAAGAAACGTCAAACGAGAGGTGATCCTAAACATGAAAGAGAGACCATGTCGTTGATGATGAACCTCTGTAGAGATTAAGCCATTGAGCATAGATCTATTTTTCATGCTTTGAACAACCATCAATTGGTTGAAATGGCTTTCAAACAAAAGAAGAAAAGAAGAAAGGACGGAGGTTGCAGAAATGAATGCTAAATTGATTATTAAAATGATACTCTCACTACAAGAAATTGCACTTTTGGAAACTACTTTTGGCGACACAGTGATCAATTTCGTTGGTAAAAGTATACCTTTACCAACGCAATTTGCTATCATTGCTAAAAAAGCACAACATTCTTTTAGCACCAAAATTTTTGGTTGGCGCCAAAATTTTAGAACTTTTAGCTACGAGACTTATGTTTTAACAACACAATGAGCGTTGCTATTAGTGTGCATACTTTTGGCGATGACAAGTTGGCGTGGGCAAAGAGTTAACCATTTAGCGACGATAACACTATTCATCGGTAAAAGTTTTGCTAGTGGAATGATGTGATTTAGTGATTTGTATTTTTTATTACAATTTTTCAAAAATTTTTAAATATTCGAATTACTGAATTATAAAATTAAAATGATCATTGAATTAGATCACAAAATGAACGGATTAACACTACAACAAAACTAAGTTTTTACGGCTTCACATCAACGACATACAGTAAATACAAGCCGTGGTTTCTCATTTTTACGATTTACTTTTTTTGCATGTCGTAAATAATTTTCCAATCACGACATGTCTATTGCGTAGGTCGTGAATGCTAATAATGATGATTTTTTTAACACTTGCAATGTTAGTCGTAAATAATAAAGTTTTTTATGACATGCATATAGCATGCCGTTAATAGATTAACTATACACGACACATGTATGCTAGCTGTTAAATATATTTCACTTTTTACGGCGCATAATTTATGTCATGAATAATATGAAAAAAACATAGACGCCAAAGTAAAAAAAAAAAAAATTAGGCGCCAAACACTAAAATACATATTAAAAAAAAAAGTCAAATACATTCAACTCTTGGGCTTTTTATAATCAAAAGAACTAGGGTTCGTCAAAAGGCAGAGAGTGACCGACCGTAACCCTTGCTCCACCATTATTGCTCTTTCTGTAGTGAGAAACAAAGGCAAAGGCAAAATCAAAAGCCCCATCACAATTTTGAACCATCAAATTGCCTTCCTCTAAATCCGTCAAATGCGTCCATCAATCGCTTACTCTATAGTTTTTCCAGTCGACAAGATGACCGAATCGACATGTCGAAGTACCAAGAAGCTTTTGCGAAGAGGATGGCCACGGCTGGTCTCAAATCTCATCACCGTATCGGTCTCTCTCTCCATACTCTCTTCTATTTGTTTGAGTCTTTTTTTTTTCCACAAATATTTAGATTTGTTGAGTTTATTTGTTTTCATTTTCATGGGTGAATTGGATTCTGGACTGTTAAATTTCACCAATCGTTGGGCTGATGTTGATGACTAGGGCTACCGCTACAGTTTCTCTGTTGCTGTATTTGTGTTGTCTAGGCTGTCTCCGCACTGTGCTGCCTTTGTGTTTGTTGAATTGGCCTTTTGTGGCTTGTTTATCTCATTTGCTGGTTGTAGTTTTCTTTTTGTTGTTGGTTGCTTTGTGTAAGACCCCTATCCTCTGCTGGACATGGTTCTTGAACAATATTTTGTTCGGTTTGCTCTGTGTGGTGCCTATGCTCAATGAAGATGGTTGAAGGCAGGTTTTGTTAGATAGTTTGTTAATTTTTTTCCCTTGTTTTAGATGTTTTTTTTGTTGGCTGTTGTTGTGTGGCTTTGCTTCCGTGGTTTCGTTACATGTGGCTTCTTAGCTGTTGTGTTGTGTGGGTAGGGCCTGGGGCATGCCCCTTGTAAACTTGTAAATTTTTCTGTTCTATTTTAGTCTTATTCACCCAAAAAATTTTTTTTTCACCAATTGAAGGCAATTAGTTGTTCGCATTAGGCAATACCAGTGAGATTTTACTTCATTCTTTCCAAATGACCTAAATATGAGCAAATATCAAAATGAGGAATCAGTAAAAATTGAGTATTTTCCTCAGCTACTCCATTTGGTAATTGGGAAACAGAGGATAGTCTATAAAAACCAAATCTTGAATCTTTTTTTTCTTCTATATTTTCTGAAATAATTTTTAGCTTTCACTGTGAATATTTCTTCTCCTCCTAAGTAGTTGCAACCTGCAAGGCAGTTCTATTATATTGAACAATTCTTGACCAAGATGAAATCATATTTTCAGATTCTAACTGCTCCAAATTTTTCTATTTAATATGAGCATTGCAATACTTCCATTGTCACAGGAGTTTAACTGAAACAGTGCAACAGTTGGTCTCATTCACTCTTCCTTTTTCTGGGGCTATTCTCTCACTCAGATTGACTCAAACATTGGCAGTTTTATTGCAATACTTCCAATGTCACAGGAGTTTAACTGGAACAGTGCAACAGTTGGTCTCATTCACTTTTCCTTTTTCTAGGGCTATCTCCTCACTCAGGTTGACTCAAACATTGGTAGTTTTTGCTTTTTAGAAAAGGCAATTTTAGAATTTATGTTAAACTCCATAAAAGTGCTTTTTCTAACTTCCACCACCCACATATATGGTTCTAAGGGGTTTAAAATTGTTATTTTTTTTTTCACTAACTCAGAACTAGCAATTGGTTCTAATCTTCAAATGTCATTTATATGTTGTATCAACCCTGATACTTGGACTTTTAGAATTGTAATGCAGATATATCTAGCGTGCACACACATACTCACACTACCCTTCTTGTTTATCACCTATAGTGGGTCTTGGTCCTTTTATCGAGGAATAATTAACTGTCACGATTTTGAATCTGTATGTCTCTGGCTGTCATCATCTAAGCCAGTGGTTGAAATTGTAATCCACACACTTTGGTGATTGTACATTTGAAATAGTGATCAACTCTTCATTGCTCTTGATGAGATATTGTCCTTCCATGTAATTTTTTGTTTTATTGAAGGTCAAAACTTAATTCTTGCCATCCTTCTTTACTAACTGCATTTTGTTTATATTTCTTTGGCAAATAGATTCTTGGAGATATCTGGGCAGATAAAATTAGTGGGAAACTAGTATTGGGTTTTGGAGTGATCTGGTGGTCAGCTACAACAGTTTTGACACCTATTGCTGCCAGAGTTGGGCTTCCTTTCTTGCTTGTCATGTGTGCCTTTATGGGGATTGGTGAGGTTAGCCTATTCTTATGCTCCTTTGAGGTGCTTTTATGGTTTACTGGACTATGATGAGCTTCACATTCCCGTGTTTCATCCTTCAATTTGGGGTTTCTTCCAAGTACTCTTCAACCATCTCCAGAAACCATGGTTTTTTTGTCTTCTCCACCAACAAAAGAAGATATAGTACACCTAAACCCTTATTGTCTCAACAGGTAACAAATTTTTACAAACCTAAATGTATGCATGAGTGACTACATACGTATACACAAACAAATTCAGAGGATTGTGAGTTTTGTTTCTGACTTATGTATCTGTATATTAATCAGTGGGTAGTCAAGTGAAGCAGAGTTACTGGTGGTGGTTGGCGGTGGAGCAGCAGGAATTTATGGAGCAATTAGGGCTAAAACCATTGCACCAAATCTGAATGTGGTTGTTATTGAAAAAGGGAAGCCCTTGTCAAAGGTTTGGATTGTTTTTGGAGTGTATATATTTGGGTTATTGTGCATAGTTAGATAATTAGAACACTATTGAATTTTTTGTGTAACTTAAAACAATATTCATTTGTTCAGTTAGTAAATTATATGTGTTTGTAATTTTGCTGAAGTAAATGATTTTCTATTTGGAAGTTTAAAATTTCTGGAGGTGGCCGATGCAATGTGACAAATGGGCATTGTAGTGACAATTTGGTGAGCATTTTTATGTTTCAAATTTACTATGTCTACACATACATTTCTGTAATGTGAATTTGTTATTTAATGAGAGCATTATGGTTATAACTAATTCTTGAACATCATATAGTTCTTTGAGTTTAATAATGGGCCTAGAGTCCTTTTGATTTTTAAAAAAATATCATTTTGGCTTATATGTAGTCCATGCCACCAGAGTAATTTTGTGAAGCCTGTTTGTATTACTTGATATGTATAAAGAATAAACATTTGTTATCTTGTTGAGGACTTTAGCCAAGCACTCCATGCTTTGTCCAGTTTTTGATCAGCTCTTATATGGTGGGTTGAACTCTCACTTGATGGCAGTTTTGCCCTTGATTGAAAGGAAAAATGTCTACTGCATTTGACTTTCTTAAAGTGATTCAACTGATATCAAACACTTGTTCTATTTTTCTTTTTGCTGACTTGATCAATATCTGGATCCTGTGTTAGTATTGTATTCTCAATTTTTATTTATCAATTTTATTTATTTATTTTTATTGTAATCTCAATTTCTCTCGTGCCATAATCTTAAGGCTATATGTTTTATATATAGAGATTACTCAGCTTGTCATTGTTTTCTTTGACGTGGAATAAGATGTACATCAGTGGGAAGAGTGTAGAAAATCATTACTGCGAGATCCTGGGCTCCCCAGTTCTAGATTTGGATTTTCACATGGGTTTCTCACACTAGAAGTTATGACATTTTTTGGCCCATGTTGGGCTTTGGTGGAGTATCTTTAAATTGAAGTAGCTATGATTAAGACAAAAAGGAAATTAAATAATCCAATGATTTTTTTGAATATTCTTGACTTTGAAGTTCCCCTGTTATCTTACATGCTAAATGAAACCAAAATACAAAATAATTTCACTAAATAGCTTGTTTTAATTGCATGGATTGAACTCAATCTGCCCTCTTTAGTTGCCTTTGTGTATATATATTTTAATTTCTATAAATAAAGTATTCAGTTTAGCTGAAGTGTCTTACGTAATCATATGATGTTCATAATGCTGACTTTCTGAATAGATTTTGGCAGAACATTATCCTAGGGGTAATAAGGAACTAGGCTCTTTCTTCAGTATGCATGGTCCCAAGGATACCATGTCCTAGTTTTCTGATCTTGGGGTGAAACTGAAGGTCATCTAGAAACTACACACTTTTGCTTTCTTTCTTCTACTTCATTTATGCTGTTAATGTTTTCTTTTACAATATCATGAATTGGCTTCAGTCATTTATGCTTAGAATCAAGTGTTACCATTCTGGTGTCAGACTGAGGATGATGGAAGGGTATTTCCAATCAGTAACAACTCATCTTCTGTAGTCGATTGCCTTTTGTCAGAAGCAAAGCAAAGGGAGGTATGTATTTGTATTAACTATTGCATGTACCGTCTGTGTACTTCTCTTACTATATTTATTTTCATAGTTCAATTTATTTATCTTTTTCGGTAGATGCTGTTTGGACCCTTTTTTCCACCAAACCTCAGTCAACCAATCCTAACATATGAGTTAATTTAAAGGTTTGAACTGTCAGATGGTTAGGTTTCCTAATCAGGCACTTTGATAATACCTTTCTTAAGGCAGCCATTGGTGCCAAGTTCAAATATTGCATATAAATTCTATTATTTAGCGTTAATATACATACATATATTAGTGAATGTGAAAAATGAAACTCATCATGGAATACGTGTATTTTTTTTTGTTTGGTGCGACTTACTGGGGTTGCTTTTGATTTTTAGTTATTTATATTTTTGAAAATTTGTGGCAACATAGGTCCACAATTGATTGTTGCGGCATGGGAAACAACAAGGACTATCTGTTTAGTAATTGATTGGTGATATGAGTCACGTGGTGTCCCTAGAGCATCAAATAATTTTCCAAGATTAACATTACCATGTTCACTGGAGGTTAGAGACTGGCAATTATGTGCTCTTGATGTCAATAGTAGAATTATTAGTGGGGTCTGATTGTCACCATCCTGATTTTTTCAAATCATTGTTATAGCTTTAGCAAAGATGCATGCACTCATCATGGTTGATTGAAGACAAGCAATTGGACAATTCAACAGCTTAAAATGCTGAAAAGAATAAGAAAAATGATTGGTAGGTTAAATTTGAGTTTGTCTCAAAGTCTGAATTTGTGTTTGCCGGTTGATCGTTTGGTTGACAGGTGAAATATTTGTCTACCGCGGTTGTCACCCAGCACTGGTGGCTAATGGTTGTTGCTTGTTAGTCTACTGTTGCTGCTGCTGGTGTGCTGTTGCAGAATTTTGCTGGGCTGCTGCTGCTGTAACGTTGCTGTGAAGTTGGCTGCTACTAGATGTTGGTCTGCTGCAAATTTTGGGGGTTGTTAGTTTCATGTTTTCATTTTATTATCTGTTGTTTTTACTATGGGTTCACAATCTGGATGTATTTGAGTATTTTAGTGAGTTTACCCTTTCAGGTTTTATACACCGCTTCCAAAAGCATGTTTTTTAGCAGTGTTTTTTTGCCTACACATACTCTTTAGGTGATTTAATATCAATGTTCTTAGAATGTAATAGTAGTGCCCGAGGGATGCCTCTTGTAAATATGTAAATCTTATAAAAAAAAATATAAATGATTTTCAATTTTTTTTGCCGCTACAAATTTGTCGTTTCCAAAAAGTAAAGCTTTCTTGACAAACAACTTGTCGGTAAATGTGTAGCCAAAAGTTTATTTTTGTCCACTCATATTTTGTTGCTAAAAGTGTATTTTTTTCCAATGCCAATTTGTTGTTGCCAAAAGTAAAGCTTTTTCGACAACCAAATCGTTGGCAAATGGCAACATTTACCGACGTAAATGTGTCGCCAAAAGTTTACTTTTGCCGACGCATATTTTGTTGCTAAAAGTATATTTTTTGCCCATGTAAATTTGTGTTGCGAAAAGTGCCACACAATCATCATATTTGAATGACTTTTACCAACGCAAGGTAAATTGCCGACGATGGATGAAGGCTTTTATCGACGACTATGTTCGTCGCTAAAGGCATTACTTTTACCAATGCAATGATAACTTCGTCGGCAAAAACTTTTGCCGACTTACTTTTGCCTACGGGTTGCCAACGTAGCTTTGTGTGTCGGCAAAACTCTTTGCCAACGAATTTTCCCTTTTAGCAACATATTTTGTTGCGTTGCGAAAAATGCAATTTCTTGTAGTGTCTTAATATGAAAACCAAGCAAAGCAAATCTATCAACTCAAATGACTTGGCGTCTAAGGCCTAAACAACCGAAGCCATGAGGACTTACAACACAACAAGCAAGGTATTCAAATCATAAACTAATTAAATGAATTAAACAGCCCCTAAAACCAAAAAAAATAGTGACAAAATAGTCCGAAAAACAAGCTGAAAATAGTTTGAAAAGCTAGAAAAACTAAGCAAACATTAAAAAGAACAAAACTTGTAAGCAAGCCTAAGGAAGGGGGCTAACACCTCCATTTTTTAGCCTCTGAAAATAGTCCAAAAACAGTGGCTAAGATCATATTAAAAGAGCACAAAAGATAGGGAAAAACAAAGAGATACAAAACTAGTAAGCAAGACTAAGGAGGGGTGGCTAACCCCCCCTCCCCAACTTTTTGGACTTCTAAACCATGTTTTCCAGCCTTTTTAAGCTCTAAAAATCAGTATGAAAACCAAAAAAAAAAGAGTGCAAAAACAAAGGGTATGGGCTATGGGATAAGGTGCAAGAAAGGGTGTTAAGCCCCTCTACCTTTGGTGGCTCTTCAACCCCAAGTTCCAACACTTGAAATGGATCGAAAGCAGTAGGAAAACACAAGAAAAAGTTTCAAATGAAAGCAAGGAAAAACGTGACAAGCTTATACCACTTGAAGCAAGCAAACTTTGGTTGTTGATCAAACTTGATTCCAAATGCCCTCAAGTTTATGAAATATGGTTTGAAACTCTAGCAAAAATCTTCAAGAACAAGCTCTCATGGTGTATGTATTGTGCATGTATAACTAAAGAAGATTTGAGGATGAAAAAAGGTGTTGAAGATGAAAGGTGGTCTTTTTAGCTCTTTAAAACTTTTGAAAAATTTGCTAACCCTCAATTCTGAAGTGAGAGGCCCTATTTATAGAGTTTGAGACAGTTTGGTAAAAAATATCTTAAAAAAAGGCCAGCTGGCGAATTCCTACCAGTTATTCTATTTTATCGCTAATGAGAGCCGGTTGGCTCCAAAAAACCCACGGGCGGACCAAATAATGCAGGGCCAGGTCTAAAAAGGCATTCTGGACAAATTTTCATTGAAAGCCGGCCGGCTCTAATTGAGCCACAACCAGATCTAAATGGACCCGGCCGGCTCCAAAAATCTACATTCAAGCCTGACTTCAAACAGGCATATCTCCCTCATCTGGACTCGATTTTAAGTGATTCTTGAGTCTAAATTGAAGCCCCAGAAGTCTACTTTCCAATTGTTGTAGCCTCATTTCTAAATTCGAAGTGATTAGAGAGATATGCCTATTTTAGTGAAGACTGCTCACTTCTATCCTAACGGCTTGATGCCCAACCTTGTTTTCTAAACTAGTTTTCTTCCATCCCCTCCTATTTCCTTCAACTCCAAACCTATAACTAAGATATTTTAAAATATTTTTCAAAGAGTTTACCTCCCTTCCATATATTTTCACTTTGTCCTTACTCGATTTACTGAAAAACACAATATTTTAATCGAAATGCGAGCCTCGGAACATTGTAGAAACATTTAGAAAAAATATTTTGAAAAAGAGGGTTTTTGAGATCTAAAATAATTTGGCCAAAATGGGGTGTAAGGTTTGGGGTTAGAGCTTGAATCCAAATTTCTTCGCTGAGAATTCAAAAGATTGCACAGTGTAACTTTCATCATCGAGTGTTCGGAATAAAGCGCCCAAGTCTTAAGGGTGATAAAAAATGGGGTGCCTACCGTTGCCCCTCTTTGACAAAGCTCGAAGTCATGTAATGACATGAGTTAATGTCAAAGCCCGAAGATGACCCATTTCGACAAGGCCGTAAGACTTGGTGAAACAATCAAAATGCATATGCAGTGGGTTGAACCTAAGGGTTGCCTACGTGTCCCTTTTTAAGTAATCAAACCAATGTAGTTCAGGGGTAGGATGCAAATGATACACAATGCAACGAAACAATACAAATGATATACAATGTATGTATATAACGAAATCATCAAACCACAAACAGTGCTTACCACACAAATATCATGGGGATGCAAATCAAACTACGTTTTATATAGACAAGAAGTGGGCACGAGCCAAACGACACCTAACACAAGCTAAGTGCCTACATCCTCAATACTGGCCTCAGTGCAACATTGATGCTTACACATAACAGGACCATGTTTTAACGTGAAAGGGTTGCGAGCACATGCAAAACTATGTTTTTCGTAGAAAGAGAATGAGGACAAGTAATTGCAAAAGATAATGATCCTAAATGTCGAATGCAACAAAACAAAGTACAACGCAATGGATGAAGTGAATATGGGGTGCAGGCCGGACAACGTTTTACCTAGAAAGGGCATGGACAGAAAACACACCACATTTAACATAGAAAAGGTGTTGACACCCTTAATACTGGCCTCAGTGTAGCATGGGTACTTACACATGACAGAACCATGTTTTAATGAGGGAAAGGTATGAGCACATGCCAAACTAAGCTCAACATGGAAAGGATGTAGGCGATAAAATGGTTTGATGTAATGGATGTAATGGACAATGGGGTAGATGCATGCGATAGATGTTATACGCAATGCGATAAAGGTAATAGATAATAATGGATATGATGTCGTAGCTGGGAAGTGAAAGTACCATACAGGGGCAATTGGTGATGACTCAACTTATGCTGTTGGGGATTTTCCTCTTCTTCTTGGTTTGAAGACTTCTTCCTGCATCTTACACTTCCAAACCACAGGTACTACTTTTCTCCCTAGCTATATTTGCAACTTTCCTGATTCTCCAATAGGGTGACAGACTAGGTTTGTTCAGTATCTAGAATTGAGGCGCATACAAGCTACCTCAACCTATGGAGTAGTCATACATATTTCAAGCCGAGGATACACCTTTAGGTATTTAACCCAGACTTTGCGTTCTAGGCATCTCCATTCGAACTCTAGTTTCCACCATCTCAGTTGGCCTCCTAGGAACTCACTAGAAACATAGTTAGGTGGCTATACCAGGCCGCCTGAAGCCATTCGGGCATGACAAATACCAAAGGAATTGCACCTGTAGAGGATTTAAGATCTCCTAGGCTCATATGAGTGCACAAGACAGTGCGAGTGAGGTGAATGCATAAAATAGTGCGAGTGAGGTGCACAAAATAGTGTGATGTGGGTTGCAAAAAACAATACGAT